AGTCTCCATGAACCTGACTTTACAGCCTTAAACTGGTTTTTAAAAACTGAATTTAAACTAAACTCTTAATTTGGACTGAGATCTATACCTATACTTTATGTTCAAGGTTCACACTAGTCCACTGCAGAGACTTTAAGAATTATCTGGGTATCTACATATAATCAGCATCATAACAATTGACATCAAAGGTGTTGGCAACAACTCCAAAATCATTTTAAAGCAAGTTTCTTATATTCAAACCTATAAAGCATAACTGCCTTATAAATTTTGCTAGAACCATAAAAAATCTGCTGAAGTGATGGTTGTTCAACAACCAGTAATTTAAAAAATTATTTGTTATAAAAAGTTGTGAAGTGTATTAATGCAGATTACACAAGGAACAGCAACAATTCAGCTTGCATTGACTGACTTAAAAAAGCAGACAATGTAGAGAAAAAACTAGCCAGGTCTTTTGTACTGTGTTTATTTATTACTTTCCCAAAAGGAGGAAGCAACAAACCACCACTCTCTCTCCAAGGGTCTCATAGGATTGTATAAAAACGCAGTTGCAACCTATAATACTGTATTTTAAACTTGAAATGTCCAGTCAACTTTAAGATAAGGTAAGTTGTGTTGCTTTATTTGACATGTACATTTACAACATATACTTAAGTGAAGCACAGGAATGGAAGAGGAAGAGCATAGTTAAAATTATATATAATACAACATCATCCATGTCAAACCTTAGAAGTATTTTTGCAACATCTACTGGTAGTTCCTGGGTTATGGACAAGTTCCATTCCTGAGAGCATCCTATAGCTGAATTTGTATGTTAAGTCAGATCACATGAGTAAGCCTAACATTTGTCTTAGTATATGTATATATTTTACCTTTCTGTGCATACAGAACACTTAAGAAACACTTTCATATTCACTAAAACATCTTAAACACAATACAGCATTGTATTAATAATAAGAATAGAGTAATAATAAAGTAAGTACAGGCACTAAAGCGAGAATCTGCATGTATGTGTGCAAGTATACAATATTGAAAAAATTGTCATAACTTGCCTCTTACACCCGGCTTAATGTATGTTTGAGCTTCATTGTCCATGTCCATCTTTAATTTTAATGTAAGCCGAATAGAAAATAACTGGGATCTTTAAAAGTGACTTACCAGTCCCTTGTTATCTTCCAAAGTCCTCTGCTAATGGATAGCTAGGGCAATATAGGCCAGTGTCTGCTTATTACATTAAAAAAATACATTAATCCATGGGAAATTTGTCTCAATGAATTTTGTGCACAGGGGCAAAACTGGCTGAGCATTTATTGAACTTTCAGTGCCTATTCCTGATGGAGCACAAGACTCCATCAAATGTGTTGTCTAAGGTGTTGAAGAGCTTGTTGGAGAATGCAAAAACATTTGGTTTCCTGAGAGATACATCACCAAATGCATCACACAGTTCCCTAGAGACAGCTGTAACTATCTCTAGGGAAAAGTTATGAATATTTCTAGCAAATCCCTATCTCTGGAGGATAGCTGTGAACATCTCTAGGGAACCATGGAACACATTTGGTGATGCATCATCCGATGCTTCTTGGTTCCCTAGAGATGTCCACAGCTTTTCGTTAAAGATAAAGATTCTATAGAGATATTCACAGCTTTTCTCAGAGATATTCATATAGTGTTTATGGCAGTCTGAGCATTTGTAAGTACGAATTGTTCACAACCTGGATGTTCATAACTTGGGGCCTACCTGTAATAGATTTGTAGTAAGAGCCAAGATAAGAATTGCCCAGTCTTTAGTGCCAATATTGCCTTCTTGAAAGTACTTTTTAGCACACAAAACACACATCCTCCAAAAAGCTGCATTTCAATTAGTTGTCAGGCAATCATTTCAAAGCTTTCTTCCTTCCTCCTTTGATCTTTGCAAATGGCCCTGTCACACCAAAATAGGAATGCTGACCGGAACCTCAATATGTACTGTTGGTAAACAAATGCTGTATCATTTTACACCCGAAGGGAAGGGAAGAACAAACCATTTCAGAACATTAGCAGGAAAGGAACTCAGTAATGTCCTCCTCAGCACATTGCACTCACCTGGCACACACAACCCTTTTCTACTGAGTCATAAGGCACAGTGACATGCTTTCTCTTGTTTACAGCACAGTGAGATTCCTATGCTTTTAAGGAGCTCGGAGAATTAATATACATGATACACAAGAATGGGACATGATTTAGCAAGCAGAACGCTATCCAGTTTCTTTATGGCCATATTCAGTGTTTTTAGGCTTATCTGCATTTTGAAAAATCTATTATCCTTCTATTTTTGGAGACATGTAAGGCAAAGTAGAAAAATCACAAGCCAGGCCCAGGAAGAAAGAGAAGAGAGCGAGCAGCTAGGCTACTAGCTAACCAAGTGGGCCAACAAGAAATTAAAGAATCCATAAAAGTGCAGAAAAAGATGAAAAACAAAAATATTTCATACCAGCATAAGGTTTGTAGTTAATAACTTTGCGCTTAGTACTGTGTGTTTTCCATTACTAAATAAGTACATAGACAATCTACTCAGCGGGACCATGAGGAGCTTGTGGAGGCCTCATAAAGGACTAACTGGGTATACTTTCCTAGACTGCTAAACATATGATTAACTGTTAGTGGTTTTAATGATAATAGTGGATTGGTTAATCTACCACTTTAAGAAGTTGATAGAAAAGTGGATTTTCTTTTACACCAGAAAGAAAGCCAGAAAAAGTTTCTGTCTCTCAAAGGTACAGGTATTGTGCCATGAGACCATTTTGGCATTTCAGTTCCAAGAATGAGCCTTCCTGTTTCTGAGCTTCAGTCATGGCACATGGTGCTTAACTTGTACAATCAGATGTAATGGAGCTCAGGTCCCTGAGTTTTTAAAACTAAGCATTCTGTTTCCATCTGCAAACAGTCAACCCAGCAACATCCACTTGGCCTCTTTTGGAAAATGAATGTTGGTCAGAATGGAATTGCACAGAATCATAAAACAGAGTTGGAAGGGGCCAAGAAGGCCATCAGGTCCAACCCCTGCTGTTGCAGGCCATCAGTTTATACCAACCCTACTCAGATGACTCTCCAGTTTCTTTTTGAATGTCTCTAGTGTGGGAGAGTCCACGACTTCTCTAGGCAACTGGTTCCATTGTTGTATTGCTCTGCAGTGAGAATACTTTTCCTGATATCTAGCCTGAATCTGAGTTGTCAGAACTTGATTTGATTATTCAGTGCCCTACACTCTGGTGTCAGCATGCACAGACCTTGGTCATCTTCTTTTGACACCCTTTGAGGTGATATGTCCCCCCTCAGTCTTCTCTTCTAAAGGCTGAACATACCCACTTCTCTCAGTCTCTCTTCATAGAACAGTATTTCCAAAACCTGGATCGATCTATCTTTCTTTCTTTCCTTCCTTATTTATTTATATCCTGTCTTTTTCCTACAAAGGGCTCAAGGCAGCTTACATTTCCTCCTCCATCTTATTCCCACAACAACCCTGTGAGGTAGGTAGGGCTGAGAGTCTGTGACTGGCCCAAAGTCACCCAGTGGGCTCCATGGCTGAGCAGGAACTAGAACCCAGATTGTCTGAGTCCCAGTCCCATGCTCTTAACCACTATACCACACTGGCTCTCAGCTTAACCACAGCTTATTTTTGCTGCCCTCCTCTCTCATTTTTCTGCATCTTTCTTAGATCTTGGTGCCCAGAACTGGCACAGTATTCCAGATGAGATCTGACTAGTGTTGAGTATAATGGAACTAGTACCTCAGTGCTTCGGAAGTGATAATTCTGTTGATGCATCCCAAAACACCACCTGCCCTTTTTGTGGATGCACTGCATTGTTGGCTCATATTTAGCCTATTGTCCACAATTACGGGGTGTTTTTCCTTTTCAGTTCTGTTGAGTCACACATTCTCCATCTTGTATTGATGCATTTGGTTCCTTTTTTCTAGGTGGATGAAGTGGCATTTGTCCCAACTGAACCCCAATTTTGGATCCACCTAGTAGTTTTTCTATCTGGTCCACTTTTTGTTAATTTGCTTATCAGTATGTCATGGGACACTATGTTGAAAGATTTGCTAAAGAACTTAGTTCTTTTCCAGCAGGGCTCCTATGGTGTGTTTAGTAAACAATGTCTTACGCACAAACTGGAAGCCTTGGAACAACAAACCAAACACTGGATTTTACAGTAAGTGTCTCTGGGAAGATGCTATCTAGGTATCTCATGAATAACTGTTCATGACATTAACTTGGTCAGGAGCTCCTAGGATTCAGTTTCTCACTGGGGAACAAAAGGTTCACTCTATACATTGTCAATGCATTCTCTGTATTTCCTATTTGCAAGTGGATTTATATTCAACCTTTCTTCCAGACTACTAATTTAAGACAGACTACATGATTTTCCCCATTCCTTCTTTGCCATGTTATCCTCACAGTGACCATAAAAGGATTACTAACTCCAAGGTCCACAGTCGAGTTTCATGGTTAAATGGCTGAAGCGGCTTCATCTCTAACTGACCCTATCCAAATACACACCGAGGTGATATTCCCACTACTAGTACCATCATCACTAATAAAATTACAAATATTGTAATAACGGGGTACCGTGAGCACGGGCAGACTCCCTCTAAGCAGAACACGCTCCCCACACGGCCTCACCCTCTAGCCTAGCACTCCCCACCCTGGTGCCCTCCAGGTGCGCTGGACTACAACTCTCACAACCCCAGGTAGCACGGCTGGGCGGCAGGTTCTCGGAGCTGGTGCTTTTGGAGCACCGTTCTCAGCATCCCACGTGGCTGGATAGGAGTCGGTGGGAACTGGTGCCCTCCAGGTATTCTGGCCTTTAACTCCCAACATCCCCAAGTTGCCATCTAAGGCATCGGCAGGGCACCAGCTTAGGGAAGGCTGAGCGAGCGTGTGCGTCAGGGAGGGCGCAAGCAGCAAGGGCGCTGAAGACCCCAACCGCCCGGCCCGGCCCTCTCCAAGCCCGGCCCGCGCTCACCTGATGTACGGGCTGGCGGCCGCCAGGATGTTGGTCTGCACCGGGATCTCCGCGCCCTCGAGCACCAGGTGGGCGTCGCAGAAGCGGCCCTCCTCGCGGAAGGAGCTCAGCGCCCTCAGGAGCCGCGCCGGGTGCTGGGGGTCCGACACGGCGCTGCCCGCCGCCCCGCTCGACATCGCGCGTCGCCTCCGGCCCGCCGCTCGGCCCGCTCCTCTGCCGCCGCCCGGCGCGCTCGCTCCTCCTCACGCGAGTCCTTGCCGCCGCCGCCGCCGCCGCCTTCGCCCAGCCGCGCCTCGGACCTCAGCGCAGGGCCTCCCGCGAGCCGGTCGCTGTCATCTCCGCGCGCGCCCTGACGTCATCTCCGCGCGCCGCCGGGGCGGGGCCGCACTCCGACCGCGCGCCGGAGGAGGGCGCCGTGCTGTGGTCGTCCGCCCAGCCGCCTCACCGTCCGGCAGCCGCGGCGTCCTGGGAGCGGGGCAGGGAGGAGGCGCCGTAGAAAGGCAAGCTCCTCGCTTTTGTGGGAACACCCGGCGGAGTCTCTGCAAGCTCCGGCAGAAAACAGGGAGGGAGTCTCGGGCCTTTTCTCTGCCCAAACCTGCCTGGAATCGCGCCTTTGTATGCAAGCCGGCACACCTAGGCAGAGTCCTGGCGAATCCAGAACCCCCGCGTGGTTGCGCTTTGGATGTCGACGTATTGCAGAGTTTTTATTTGGTTTTTGCAGTCGTTCAGCCAAAGTGCACAATAGCGAAAAAGCTCTGAGAATGCCAAAGAGCAGAACCGCAAATACAGATACAGAAAAAAAGAGGGGAGGGAGGCATAACAAGGACACACACACACCTTATAGTGGCACAGGAACTATCAGAGATACACTGAACTGGTCTTGAGAAAGTATTTTGTGTATGCATTACACGCTCACACATCCCTACATAAGTATTTGAAGTACCTGTTTCACATCACTAATATAAATTGAAGTAGGTTGACCAAATATCCGAATGAGTGTTGAGACAAAGCCGGCTTTGGTGGTATATTCTCTCATCAGAGGCCGATGTTGTGAGGTCTTCAATCCACTGTGTGCTTGGGGAGCATGATTTGTCTTTCCATCCCCATAGCCACCTTGGGAGCTCATTTAGTCCACTTGTGGTAACCTGTGAATAGCTTCCAGGATGCAGGAATATAATTCAGCAGTGCAGCAACATCTTTAAACAGGAATAACATATTTAGGACAACATTTGTTTGCTTATTTATTCATTTATTTATTTGAAGCTTTTATACCCTGCCCTTCACAATGTCTCGGGGCGATAATAGAATAAAATAAATGACTAAGATACAGCATCCAGATAATAATAGATAAAATTCAATCTTAAAAACACTACTAACATTTAAACTAATGGGAAAATAAAAAGAGTTTGGCCTGGCACTGAAATGAAAAAAGCATCGGCACCAGGCACACCTCTCTAGGAAGCTCCTTCCATAGGTGGGGCGCCACCGCAGAAAAAGCCCTTCTCTGGGTAGCCAGCCTTCTGATCTTCCAAGATATGTCTAACAACTGATATGTCTAACAACTTGATATGTCTAACGACTTCTGTTCAGAAGGGGACCACCACTGGGCACTTCTGCATCATGTGTGCTAATGATGATTCTGCTGTCCCTCATTGCCAATATTTATTAGATGGTGATAGTTTTTTTCTGGAATAGGTGCTCTGGAGTCCAATATGCCCTAAAGACCACTTTTTGCTGTGTAAGTGCTCAAGAGATATGGATTATATAGAGGATGTAGCTATTAACCACAGGTGTGGTTGAACATGATATTTTAATTGTTAATTGTATTTTGTATTTGTTTATGTGAGCCATCCCGAGGCTATAAGCGATGGGACACCATACAAAAACTCCAAATAAATAAATAAATAAAATTTTAATTCCCCTCACCACTCTTCTCTGAGTGTCTGAAGGTCGAGCTGGCTGTTGCTTTGGTTGTCTTTCTGCCCTGACCCTAACCAAGTCCTCCAATAATGTTGGGGATTCTGAGGCAGTGAGCACTGATGGGCCATGCAGAGGATGGAACATTTGGTTTTTTTTAAGGTGTTGGCAGCATGCGTTTGGGGGCAGTTGATGTATTCTCTGCAAATCCACAAAGGAGAGGAATTCACAGCCTTTGCCTATTAACTGATCTAAAATGAGGATACCTCTCTCAGCCCACTGCCTCCAGAGGAAAGGTTGTCCAGCAGTCTTCAGATCTGGGTTACACCAGATTGTTAGTTTGGCACGTGAGATGTATGCTTATTTTTGCATACATTTACACATGCATGTTCTGGTCCACAGTGAAAACAGTAAAGGGTAGCGTATGTTAGGACCACTGAACAGAAATTTAAGAATACTCAGAGTGTATAGTCCTTCTTGGAATAAATGGTCTGCCTGATGCACAGGTGGCAAAGTTACTCTGCAGCCCAAGGACCCCTGGGAATAATCCAAGTCTCTATCCCTTTGGCTTCCCATATGGCAATTGTGAAGAAATACATGGGTTTTCAGTTCTAGCCCAGCACCTCCCTATATGATGCCCCCTTGAATTTACAGCCTCAGTCCTGAGTTTGCATGTGGAGCTGCATTTTGTTCTCTCGATATCGCCCATCTAATGTCAAATGTGATACTGAGCATGAGGGCCAGCCCGAATATTAGGAAGAATGAAGTCATTAACTCAAATGACAGTGGGGTGACAGACAGCTCCCCAGCTAAGCTACCTCCCCTAAACTGTCCTGCTGCCTCCATTTTGAACTAAAATTCAGCTCCCAGCTGAAAGATTTCCTTACAGGGTATCAGGGTATGCAGGGCTTGGTAACCTTTAGCTCAGGCAGGAAAATGGCTTGAATTGAGCCTGATTTTCCCATTACTTTACAAGAAATGGATGTCACAAATGTGTGCATGAACATGCATTCTATGATAGGTTCTGTTGTTGGCATGCAGTGCTCAGTGCTCTGTGTGCCTAGTTAGCTTGGAGTTAACAACAAGTGAAATGAATAAATGAGTGACGGTCATTTATCTCCCAGAAACTGACGACATACTGAAAGAAAACCTATACATACCACTTGCTGTGACTGCCACTTTGAAATTTCTTATCCAAGGGGGTTGTACTTGGACTACTTGTACCATGAAAGCAAGGATTTGAGTGACCTTGTCTCTGTAATTTAGAGACAAGTGCTATGTTTGTTTCTGCTGTTGCTTGCTAATGATTGTGATGTTGGGAAGTGGAATGGTGTTTCTGGTTTCACCTCCAATGAGTAAACAATGACTTGGCTTCCTCAAATAGCTTATCTGGGTCAATATGGAAAGGAGATGATGTAACAGATCCAGGAAAGGCAAATTAAAAGGAAAACCAAGCTGTGGGATGAGAACAGGAAGTCACACACTCTTCCATGTACCACCTCTCCCCCTCTCCCTCTTGTTCCAGGAAAGAACGACTGTCAGGTCTCTTGCATGGTATTCTGCAACTTTTTCTAACTTGGGACCCTGAGAATCACTTAACTGGAGGTGATTCCAGACAGGCGACTCCTGGAGTTACCAACCCGAAGTTACAGTTGTTCCAGGGGTGCTGGTGGGCACCAATGCACCCACGGATACTTTTCTTGGTTCCTACCAAGGTACCCTAACCCTCTCACTTAAAAGCACACACACAACACATTTTCTTACAACAGTTGGTACTGCTGTGAAATATGTTTCTGTTGGGAGGAAAACTTGGGTTCAAAGGAGTTGTTAAGCGTGTTGGGGCTCAGTCTTTTGGACAGTACACTTGTCCTTTGCCACGACTCCTGTAGCCATCTTGTCTCCCGCCATCTTGTGACAATGCTGTGGACAGTTTCTCTGATGGTAAAATAGGCCCATCGCCACAAACATTTGCCCCTCTCTGAGATATTCCGTCTTTCCCACCTCAACAGATTTGGCAGTGGAAAAGCAGAGGAAGAGGCATCTGGACCTACTTTCCATGAATGAAGCAGAAGGTGACAACCTGATTTCTAACTGGAACCTGGTGCTCCAAACATATAAGACAAGTTCTGGCCTTCCTGCATTGGCTGCCTGTATGCCTCCGGTCCCAGTTCAAGGTGCTGGTCTTAACTTCTAAAGCCCTACACAGATTAAAACTACAATACCTGTCAGAGTGCCTCTCCAAACACAAATATACTAGGACACTACGTTCAGCCTCTGGGGCCTTCCCCCAGGAGTAAACCCCTCAAGAGACTCAGCGGGTGGCAACTGGGGGAAGGGGCTTTTCTCTGGTGGCCCCCCATCTTTGAAACAACCTCCCTGCTGTGGCCTCTCTGGTGCCAAATTTACCATCTTTTTGGCACCTTGTTAAGAAAGTCCTCTTTGTGGAGGCCTTTAAAGACCTCCCTGGTCATTCAAGGACCTGCCACGATTAGCCAGGTGCCTTCCTTTTATTCTTGGACAGGTTTTTAATTTTGAAATCTTAATGTTTTTATCTATTGTAATTTACAGTTTTTATGCTTTGTTGTAAACCGCCCAGAGAGCGTTGACCATGGGTGGTATAGAAATGAAATAAATAATAATAGTAATTGTTCAATAGAAGGAAGCACTCTTGAACACCAAAGATCACCTTCCTTTGTTTGTCATTCTCCTTTTTACCCTATTCTTCTTTCTCTCACTCTCCCTTCTGCCTGTCTTCTTCTTTTTTAAAGGGAAGGAAGGTGGTGGAAATTCTGTTGATGCAATGGTCCAAAGATACGAGGGGATGCTGTGAGGAACAACAGAAAAGAAAATGGTGGCCACGACTCCAACAGGATTTATGTTTTTCAGAAAGACAACCACAAAGAAGACGGACAGATTCTTGTACAGAATATTGGCTATGGTAGAATGGATATTATATATTCAATACACGTCTTTCTCAGTTTTCTCCTGTTATTTTTACTGGGTTGCCCTCTTTTTGTGGTGTTAACAGTCACGCATATTTGGCTGAGCTTAGACTGCATGATTTAGAGAATTATAAGGAGAGCAGATCACATTTCTTGTATATGTAATCTGTTTAAATATGTATCATAGCAACTCCTGGGATAAATGGTTTGCATTACAGCAATGCTTTATTTCCTTTCAGTTTTAACACATTTTAAGGAAGGTAATGAAAGTATATTACACACATAAACCTCACTGGTTTTGATAACTGCTCTTGAAGGAATTGATAGAAATTTTTGTTCCTTTTGGACTTCTTTTTGAACTTCAAAGCTTTGCTTTGCAACATTCCTGCCTGATTCAGGCACTGTATGAAACTTTGAAAAATTGTTTTGTTCTAAGGACCACCTGCTGCCCTTAAAAGAGAGATTTCTAACACTTATTAACCAGCCTAAATTCATTTACAGAAATGGGAAATTCAGGAAAACACCTCTTCGCTTTGAGAGCAAAGCTATGAAATAGTTCGCAATGTGCTACTTGCATAATCCTTCCATCATGCAGATTTCATGACTATATGTTTCCCTAGCCAAAAGACTGGTCAAATTTGCTGGGTAGGTTGAAAGAAAAGAGCCTAATGCTTTTAAAAGAAAAATATGGGGTGTCTGTTTCTGGAGCATTTGGAAGGCTTGGGGAAGCATGGGAAAGGTGCAGAGAACGGAGAACAGTCAGGATAATATTAAAAAACTAGGGGATCTCACCCCAAAGTGGTAGATGTACTTACCACCCTATGCGGGGAGAAAAAAACCCTTCAATGCTTTGTTTTGCATTTGACTCCTACAGCTGTCAACTGAGTACAAAGCAACATGTATAAACTCTTGCCTGTAAAATGTCCTTAAATAGTGCATGTTGATAGCAGATATTTACCAGGACCTGGGCCATAGAAGGCTTCAAATGTCAGTCCTTCATAGGTGTGCATCTGCAGAACCCTGTTTTTTAAAAATTGCAAATCAAACTGCAACTCGGCCAACCAATATGAAAGCACATGATACAGTGCAGTCCTGACACTGTGGTTGGTTGTGACCCCCACCAAGAAAGAGGATTAAATCACTGGTGGTCCCTCCAAAGTGCTGCTTGGGCATCAGTGGGGTGGGCGTCGCTTGCGGCAGCATGGCGAGATTGCCAAGAGCAGCAACCCTAACCCCAACCCTAGCCAGCATGGCCAAGCAACACTCAAGCCTAGCGAACACGCACTTCAAATTTTGCAGTTTTTACAGAAAGAAAATACTGGTCTTTGCACTGTCCATAGAGTTGGATTTCAAGATCACAATCTGATGATCCTGGATTGCAAGATCACCTTCTGATGATCCTGAGATTTGTAGAGCACCAACCACCAAACTGGAGAAGTCTTGTGTGTGATGGATTGGGTCACGCCATACCTCTGCCAAAGTTCCTGCTTTTTCTGTGTCATTTAGTACACATATAGAGATGTACATTTGCTTGTGTGTGTGATGGGTGTTGCAATTTGGAGGAAAATGTTTGTTTTTCATTAGTATGCCCCTTCATGTGATTCTTCCACAGCTTCAGTTGGAAAAATACAAAGGGCAACAAAAGCGATCAGGGCAGTAGAGTAGCTCCCCTCTGAGGAGCAGCTATGACAGCTGGGCCTGTTCAGCATAGAAAATGGGCAAGGGAGGGGCGACAGGATAGAGGTGTTCAAAAAATGGTGTGGAGGAAGTCGAGAGGAGACATTTTTCCCCACTTCCCATGACCCTTGAACCCAGGGTGATCCCATGAAGCTGATGGGTGGGAGGTTTAGGACAGATAAAAGGAAGTCCCCTTTCTCACAATATATTGTTAAACTGTGGGGTTCACTCCCACGGGAAGTGGTGATGGCCACCAATCTGCATGGCTTTATTTATTTATTTAGAAAATTTCTAGGCCGCCCCATTCGCTGAAGCCTCGGGGCGGCTCACAAAAGGGGATTGGACAGATTGTGATGGAGGCAGCTATCCGTGGCTACTGGCCACTCTGGCTGTGGACTGCCTCCTTCGCCACAAGTTGCAGAGGAGCTTGGGCAGGAGGAGGTCTCACACCTACCTTGCTTGAGGGATCTCGTGGACAATGGGTTTGCCACCAGCTGTATGGAGTGCTGGACTCGTGCATAGACCTTTGGTCTGATCCAGCAGGGCTTTTCTTCCGTTCTTATAACTTCTCTGCAGGAGAAATCCTGTGCCTGAGAAGCACATTGTGAGACCTGGTATTTCTACAAGTATATGAACCAGGAAGCTGTAACATCCATAATGCGCAATGCCAGCACACTTTACAAGCAGTGACGATGTTGCTAGGTTTGCTTTGGTTTTTTACAAGTAGACATGATCTCGTAGGGAAAAACGTGTGTGAAATGGCTTGCAATTGAGGGCAGTTTGATATTAGGGTCAGAAGAAGAATCAGACCTTGCTTTATTCATGCAAATTAATGGGAGGAGCATGCACTGTGGCTGATTTAGACATAGTAATTGCAGTGGTGCAGATTAGAATTAAGCAGGTCATAGGAAAATGAGTTAGCCTTGCCCTGCTTCACAGCACACACGCCCTTTTTATATTGTGACAGTGTATTGTCGGCTTCATCCTGATTATAACGCACTGCAACACATTCCTTCCAAAATACTGCAGGACAGTGCAACTCCTTAAGTGGGTGCATTGATTTCAACATCCCTAATTGCATTCAGCCCATAGGGTCAGCCTCCAAAGTCAAGCAGCTGTCTTCAGTGGTGATCAAATCAAGGCCTCAAAATCGATCCAAATCAGGTTGGTCAGACAATGCTGACAGACAGGATGTTGCTCAAATCGAACCACTTACATTATTAAAGTGTTTTGTCAGTATTTCTCTGTGCAAGTTGGCCCACCCAGTTTAGAATGAAAAACTCACAATTAACTTCATTTCCAAATCTCTCTCACACACACTCACACACACTTTTTCCCTTCCAAGGAACTTTCAACATTCTCCTCCTCTTCTACTCTTATCCTCGCCATGACAGCCCTGGAAGGTAGGATGGTCTGAGAGTCTGTGACTGGCCCAAAGTCACTCAGTTGGTTCCGTGGCTGAGAAAGAACGTGCTTTTAGAAAGAACTCGAAGTCCTAGTTCCACAGATTGGCTTAAATTGCAATGCTATAAATCCTGAAGTGAGAACCTGTATGCCTAGGAAGGAGGGTAGGGAAGAATCTGCTATTCTTAAAGAAAACAGAAGTGGTAGAGATTTAGTTTTTCCAGGGGTGAATAAGTCTTACCCATAACAATGTGAAGATGAAGGGAGGGGGGGCACCAGAGTCTTTTGGCACTTTTACAGCTACAGCAAACAACAAATTCATTCATTGTGGTGTTGGATTTCGAGGGCCAGAACCTTACCCGAGTTATGACTGATAGTCATCTTAGGAGCAGAGAGATCTTAATTCAAACCCCCAGTTAATTATGTTAATTAATTAGGTCCCCCCCCACACACACCCAGGGTTGTTGTGAGGGTACAATATGGGGGGTGACCCATGTTTCTGTAAGCTTCTTGGAAAGGCAGAGGAGAGAAATATAGTGGCAGTAACTACCTTCCTCCAAAATGGTGGCTTCCAGATGAGTTGAGGAAGAGATAGGTTTACTGTGTTAGCATGTAACACTAAGCCATCATGCAGGGCTACATTCATGAGCAGAGAAGCTTGGACTCCCACTTCTGCTCTCCCCTACCCTTCTGCATCATTCAGCATTCATTTTCATGTTACCTGATTCCTAGCTTGCCATCACATATAAACCACCAATTGTGTTTTAGAGCATCCTCCAATTAGCCAGCTAAACCATCCAGGGTTTGTAGATGCTTGGCATCTGACTAGAGATTATTTTAAATTATGATTCTTGGTTTGCAAATGACAAGCCAGTGATGAAATGGTGATTTATTTCTCCTCTGAGTTTGGTGGAACCATCAGGAGCTCTTCGACTCTACTAAACCAGCAGTGGACAGCTTGTGGTCCTCTGGATTTTTTTGGTCTAAACTTCCTATCAGTCTGAGCCACAGAATCAATAGTAAGAGAAAATGGGAGGCCAAATCATCTGGAACCCAAACCCTAACTCCTAAATGAAACCTTGGTTTTGTATTATATGCAAATCTGGCATGTCGCTGTCTTGCCTGTTCAAAACCTCAATAGCGTCTCCTTTTCTCTTTCTTGGAAATGACCAGTGCGTGTTTGACTTGGTGTCCAAGATTCTAAGGAACAGAAAAAGCTCTATGCCAAATCTTGATCACTTTGGAGCAGAATGCATTTTGACAGGACTGGGTCTTGGGCAGGACTTCAGGCTGTGCGTTCCCAGCGGTGTGCTGCATTGCTCCCACTGACATACACCATGGCACTGCTGGAAATGGCCAGCCGTCAAAAAGGTTGGTTCCACTCTGTTAACGGTAGCAATGCAGGTGCCTCCAGAATTTCTAAGGCCATTCTGATCCCTAGTAGGAGCCGTCCGTCCGTCCTTCCTTCCGCAGAACACTGCAGCACGGGCGAGGTGGCCCCAGAGGGTGCAAAATGCAGTGTAAAATGTAACGCTGTTTAGCTCAGCAAATTTTAACATTTGCAGCATCACATGCTGATGAATGTTGACCAGCGTTTGCAGTGCAGGTGCTCTCTGGGGCCAACTCGCCCACCGTGCCAGATTCAGTGAAAGTCCTGGTCCTTCCGAGGGAGGCATGGCTGCCTCAGGGAACACTGCTCCCCTTTCCAGTAAAATTAAACAGGAAATACGAGGCTGCTGGTTGGCAGAAGGCTGGGGGGGGGGGGCAAGTTGCTGCCATCAAGGGTAGGTTTGCTAGGCCCTTGCTGTGCAGAGGCCTAGTGACAAGATGCGTGCCCAGGTGTGTCGTATGGGATGTACCTCAATATTAGCACCACAAAGACCAGCTCCCAGGCCATGAAGCTGTGCCCAAGGGCAGGCCATGGGCCATGCGGGGGTGAGCTTGAGTTCAGGAGAGGCAACCCACTCGCCAGCGTGAATGAATGCCGGAAGCCTTGGGGAGAAAAGCTCAGGCACAAGACATTTCCCCTCGCAGAGATCAGGCAAAAGAATCCTGCAAGGAGGGTGGCCATTGTCCCGAGACATCAGGAAATGACCCCACCAACAGTAGCAAACACGAGCAAAGAACTCACTCTAGAAAACAGATTCGCTGATGTAGCAGCTAGTGGTAAAGAAGGTCATGGAGAAGCGATCAAGCACCCATCCAGCAATTAGCAGTAACCTGGGAAGCATTGAGAAACTCCCCATTACCACCGAGGCAAGGAGAGAGAGAAATATAAAGATCAGTATAAAGACCAGGGATGTAGAAAAGAGAAGGGCAAGCGTGGAAGGCGCACACAAGGGACTGCTGTCAGAGGCTACCTTGCCAGACACGCCAAGGGGCTCCTTCCTCTCCCCTCCCTTTCTTGTCTCTTTAAGCCTGTTAGCAGGAAGCTCTTTCTCTCTTTAGAAACAGAGAATAAAGTTGGGATGCAGTACAAATCTCTGCTGCCTAGACAAGATGTATTTTCTGCTGAATAAACTTTCCTTCACTTTCTAAGCGCTGTGTGTTTCTTTGGGTACGCAAAGTTAGGGGGTGTGTTCTCTACCAGTGCATGTCAAACCCCAGAAAAAGATCTGAAACCTTCTGAAGCAATCTATTTGTAACACTACAACGTAATTAGACATTATTTCTCAGAAGAACCGTAACCTTTTCATATGTTTTTAAGGCTGTAAACAAATAATATTCAGGTTTCTTTTGCCTCAGGCTTGAAAAGAGTATGTTCAACCGAGGTTATTTTACTTGACATACCATAGGGGAGACCATGAGTCTGTGGCTTGTCAAGTTACTTTGTCGCTGCTAATTGTCTAAGATCTCCGGATAGCAACCTTAAAGCAGACTTTGTCAGTTCCCTTAAACTGGAAGTCCAGTGAGCTAAAATGTATGAACATAAACACAGAAATAACACTTCTGTGGAAATGACAAAACTTTATTTATGAGACTCCACTGAATTTTTATCAGTTATTGCTAGGAAAAAAGCAAAGTACAACTGAAGGATTTGAGAGGGAAAAGTTTAGTTTACATACAATTAAAATACAATTTTAAGTTATATACAACCTTGCAGGAATTGAAATGGTCTAACTATTCCTCCATTGAGGAGGGAGAACAAAATTTCCTTCTGTTGAAAGGTCCTAGACTGATCCATGTTAGCAAAAGCTGTATCTAAACATGTGGTTAAGACTTTTTAGCACCTTAGTCTGTATTTCACTTTGGTTTGATGATTGAATTGAGGAAATGAAGCACCAAATGGATCTCAAGGTTCTGAGAATCCCAGATTACAGTTGCTTGTGAAGTTGGTTCCATTACATGCAGCTTTAAAAATGATTCACAAAGATTACATAAAAGCTTGGCAGGTGATTGCCTATCACCTTGTAAACACACTTGCTCAAGCAGTTCATAGTTTGTTACACAGAATTAAATATCTTGCAAGACCTGTCAGAAACTAAACCAGACAGAGCAAAGAAAATGCTAGCCTCTGTTGTACACAAACGTTCATTCGTTCTTGCAAAGCTGCTGACATAAATTTTAAAGACAGTTCACAACAATTCAAAAACAGCATAATTCTCCATTTTAGTCTAGTTCAAGTCTGCACTGAAATTAAGAAGCAGCTCATACAAAACTGTTTGCAGATTATGTTGTATTCAGGCACTGTCATTAACTGCACACGGTTCCCTGGTGGTATACATTTCATATGCGTTTAATAAAATATTAATTCACATTCAGGGAAGAAGATTGTGGGGGTTTTCTTTGTATTGTTTTGTTTTGTTGAAAGTTAATATGCAGTGTCTGATGAAAATATTCACATACACCCTTCGACTTCTCAACGTTTTGTGGAATAGCATCTTGTATCAGAACTTGGAATTTTAATGGATTGGATTTCCATTGTTGTCACTCCATGCACAAAAGGTCCTTAACACTGCGAAAGTGCAAAATGGTTTTATTGTGGCACAAAAGTTCAGTGAACAAAACCGGACTGCCACCTGGGTAAGTATTCAGCCCCTTTGCTGCGACCTGCCTGAATAGGATCAGGGATCACGTGCTAAACTGGTTGAAAGGAGCCCACCTGTGTGTGATCCCTTTGCCACGTGATATCCGACTAAATACACCAGTTTTGGGAAAGCCCAGAATTTGCTGGAGAGCAGAGCTAGACAATAGCACTACTAAGACCAAGAAACTATAGAAACAGACATGGAATAAACTTGTCCAGAAGCACCAGACAGGTTCAGGTGATTAAAAAAAGGCCACGAACACCCACTGGAACAGTGTTGTATCCATTAATCCAAAAGGAAAAGAATATACTCAGCTGCAGTGCTGCCTAGAGAAGGCTGCCTACCAGAGCTCAGTCACTGGGTATGGAGGACCCAGTTGGAGAAGCAACCAAGAGGCGGGGCAGGCCTGAAGGAGACGGAGGGTGCCACAGCTTGGTGGCAGAACTCTTCTATGGCCAGCTATCACCCACCCTGCTCCGAGCTGGCAAACAGGCACGCAGGAGACACAGCAGATGCATGCAGAGATGCTATCCAGTCTCGAGGTCAACACGTAACATTTGGCCTCACTGCAAGCTGCCCTTTGTGGCACAACGTGGTCATGTCGTGGGGGTGCTTCTCCTCACCAGGGACTAGGAAACTGCCCAGGACTCAGAGCAAGGCAGATGGAGCCAAACAGAATTCTAGAGAAACACCTGTTTCAAGGCACCATCGACTAGGTTAGAGATTCCAGGAGCGTGGAACACCCTGAACACCAGAGTGCTTTAAAAGCAAGAACTTTAGAACAGTTCTTGGAATGGCACTAAGCCCAGACCTCTGTTTGATTGAGAACGTGTGACATGACTCGAAAGGGGTCGTTCACCGACGGTCCCCATAAATCCGGCAGCGCTGGGCTACCTTTGCCAGGAAGAACAATGGGCAGTACTTGCACTTTACTGTACTGGAAATCTAGTGTACACCAAGTGGTAACAATGCCAACTAAATCTATTTCCGCTCCAGGCTGCAACACAACAAAAGGTAGAAAAGTCAACGCGTATGAATACTCTTGCTTGCAAAAGTATTCTTTTTATTTTGCTTTGTGTTTTTAAGAGATTACCCCCCCCCCCCCCAGTGCGGGCTCCAGGTTTTGAAATGCTTGGGCGAGATTCCGCAAGGGGCCTCCTCCCGCAGAGTGTCCTTTTTCATTACCACTGTCACAAGCTGCTATGACAACTCTAATCAGGGCCCTGGCCCGGGACCTCAGCTCCTCCTCCTCCTGACCATCACTACCACCACTGCCTGAGCCAGAACAAAAGGCTGATGGACAGGAAGATGATGGTGGAGAAGAGAAGAAGCGCTCTTACTGGTGGGCTCTAAAAAGACGCCAGGTCTATCCTTAAGACCAGCTCAGGCTCTTCCCCATCCCTCTGCTGCCTAGGCTAAGAAAAGTCTGCTGCAGACCCTGGTGCTTCTTCGCATAAAGCAGGCTTCTCTCTGAAATGTTCAGAGGTGAAGCATTGTTCCATCATATGTAGCTTCAGAAACAGCCTCTTTTCACTTCTGTTTCTCTAAACACTGATGATGTGGGAGTAGGGGAAAGGACTGGATGATTGGCTAGTCCACTTCCTGATCAGAGAACACATTTCGCCAAGGGCTCTTTAATCACCATACTTTAGGGGACCATGAGATGATCATTCTTTCTGTACCACTAGGCTTCATTATGAAAAAAAGGCCTTAAATTATTTTCAGCCATCACAGCTCCCTCTCTCCTGTACCCATCTTTCTTTTCTTCTCAGAACAGTGTTCCACATGAAATATAGGGAGGTAAGTACCTTTCCCTCTCTGAGACCCTCAAAACATAAAGAATACTCTTGCACAAAAATCAGTACACCTATACATCTGAAACTTGCCAGGTTCGGTTCCCTCAGAAGGGATAGCCATCCCTGCCAATTTCATCCAATTCTGCCAAAAAGTACTTAAGAATATTAGCAGCAGTTCCCTTTCAATATGTAAAACTATACAGGTGCCAAGGACAAACAATGGGAAACACAAAGCCTCATATATCTGAATCTTACGTTGGGTTTGGCAAGACCTCCAAAATTCTGTGAGCAGAATCAGGCCATTTTCCAAAATACTGATTCAGGGTCTCAGTCAAATCTTCAGGCAAGTGCTCACCTCTAGTATATAACCCTGACAATAAAGCAACCCATGGATTGTTAACTCTGGGAAGTTTCCAAGTAGCTGGAAGTGAGCTCCCACCCACTAGCCTGTGCCAGCTTTGTTAAACCCAAGAACGCCTGATTCGAGCTTCTCTGTTGTAACATCTAGGCTCAAAAGGCAGGGAGCAGCAGCACAAATTCTTAATCCAGCAACAATCCATGGACCAAATCTCTGGGTTGTTCCCCCCCCCCCCCCGCCCCATCTCCTCGTGTCCCAGGGGCGGCAATTTTGGCGACGTGACAGCAGGTCTGCACTTGGGAGTCCACAATTACGATCGCTCCCATGCACACACGTTTGATTGCTTGAGCTGCATCACTAGCCGTCCTCCAGTATCCAGAGTGTTGTTACAGAGAGGATGGAAAAAACGTTTTCTTTGTTGCTGCACAAGACAATAATAGTTGGGTTTGCAACTGAAGGAAGCAGCCAACTGTGCATGAAACTCCCTTACAGCAAAAGCTGTTTGACAGTGGAACAGATGCCTCCGGAGGTTGTGGAAGAGACCTTCCATGGAGGCATTTAAGCAACGGCTGGATGGCCATCCGTCAGGCACGCTGCCACTGCAAAATTTTTGCAATGAACAGAGGGGTGGACTAGATGGCCTGCAAAGTTTCTTCCAATTATAAAATGCTAGGATTTTACTACTTCACCTGCTATTTTTATGATGTGAGCCACCGTCTCATCCCAAGGATGTAGAATGTACACAGCCTGGCCAGATCTCATTCTCACCCCATATGACTAGATCTCCAGCCTCCAAGGAGAGCTAGAGTCTCCCGGTATGGGGCAGGAACTTCGGGTCTTACCTTCTGCAATACCAAACAGGAAGTGCTAAGGTTTTTCTGATCACTGCAGCAGGCCAAAAACCAGGCGGTGCAGGCTAACATGGAGGCACTGGGGTATAAACAAATCAGCAAACAGTTTACAGTTGGTTTAACTCATGTTAGAAAGTACAACAGTCCTTTACTCGTGTTGTTTGTGCAAATCCGTCTCATGTTCTGCCTTCAAATCCTCCTTTGGTATGAAGATTCCATGTAAGTCCAGGTGCAGTTCTACATTTACCATGGCCCGAGCTATTTCCTTAAATGTTTTGGCATCCAAGATCAGCAGGAAAGCTGGCTTCTGGGGCTCTACTGTCACAATGGTTGACATGATGATACCTAAAGTTGCAATGGAAGACAGGCTAAAATTATTTTTTCCGCAGTGTGGCTCCTTCCAAAAGATGAGAAGGAAGAAGTGGAGTTTATTTGTGTTTAGATCTTGGTATGTACCAAGGAAGGGCTGGCTCTACCATTGGGCAAACTGAGATAGCTGCCCCAGGCAGCAAATACTACGGTGGTGGCAAGGTGTTAGAGGACAAAGTTTATCTACCACAAGCCCCCTGCACCTATTTCCCCCTCACATGCGACATGTGTAATTGCCTCCTAACAACCTATTATGCTTGCAAAATAATTATGCTTCAGGTCAAGTTGTTTACCACCTTCCTTCTAAGGAGTCCAAGGTGTATACCCCCCTCTCCATTTTATCCTCACAACAGCCCTGTAAGGTAGGTTAGGTTGAGAGTCAGTGACTACCCCAAAGTCACCCAGTGAGCTTCAGAGCTGAGGAGGGACTAGCGCTAGATTTCCCAGATACATCCTGCATCTACCAAGTGGGCAACAGGTGTTTCAGCGAAGCAAACATGTGCAGCTCCAGTACAGTTTTCATTGGGAGACCAATGTTTTCACTCGCTGGTGCTACACATGTGGGGGACCTGGAGAACAGGTCTGGCCTAGCACTTGAGCCTTTTAAGATAAGCTCGGACAACGCTTGTCCTATGTTCATCTGCTCCGAGATGTAAACTGAGGTCTCTCCATCCATCCCTCCCTCCTTCCACCCACATCCATCTCTCTATGGGTTAACACAGCTACCTGCGTTTCAGCTGCCATGCTGGGTCAGACCTGTGTTTTCTTCCTAAAGTGGCCAACCGTATGTCCGCAGAAACCCTGCAAGCGGGACATGAGTGTAAAGGCACCCTCTCACCCATGCTCCACAGCAACTGGTAAACAGATGAATGGTCCCTGATACTGGAGGCAACACATGGCCATCAGGACAAGCAGCTAAGAATAGTCTTGTCTATTCCTTCTCCACTTTTCCAGCCACCCAAACTGGTGGCCACCACTGCATCTTGAAGAAGTAAGTTACATAGTTCAGCCATGCACTGTGTGAAGAGGGACTTGCTTTTATTGTTTGGGATCCTCGCCAGTTAGCACCATGGGACGACCCCTTGGGGTTCTGCCATCATGGGAAAGGGAGAAAAACATGTCCCTCTCCAGGGTGGCTACAGAATCTCCTTGCAGCACGGCTCCAGCACTAACCACTAGGCAACTGAAAGCTTGTTCCACCACACAGGTTTTTGCCTAGCCACCTCATTTGCTCTTTTTGTTCTCTCTCAGCCTAACCTGCATCAAAAGAGCTGTTATTAGGGAATAAGAATGAGAGAGACACTGCCTGGAGCTCCTTGGAACTGGGTGGGGCAGCGACCGAGACAAACCGGTGCAGCGGGGCCGGCCGAGGAACAAAAGCCACCTGTCAGGAAGCAAAGTATGTGGGCGTTGTATTTCCAATATCAGCATTACTGGAAGAGCAAATGGGTGTATGCAGACTAAGCAGAAATGCACCCCAGATTATGAATGGCGGTATTGTGGGCCATGCTGAGCAACAGGCCATGGGGGGTCTCAGAAAGAGAGGTCCTTAAGCTTTAAGTCTGTAAATTCACCTGCTTGCACTGAAAGCCTTCCTGGGAGGAAGTCCCACTGAACAAAGTGGGGCTCTCCTCTGAGTAACACGCCCGGGGCTGTGCTTTTGTTCACCTTCTGCAGTTTAATCAGTGAATCAATGAGCTTGCAAGTGAATGTTTTGTTTTTGAATTTTGATTGAGCATATTACTGGAATGGGTTTTGGGATGAAACACATGCCTCCACACGCCAAGTTAAGGGCACTCTTCTTTCCTATTAATTTTTTAGGCTGCTTTGCTTCTGATGTGTTACTGAAGCAGTATTTATATTTTTACTTCCAGGAGGGCCGCTTCAAAGTATTTTGCACCCTGCTAAGTCAAAATCGTGCTTGGGAAAGTTGAAAATAGAACACAAAGGGGAAGACCAAACAGGAGATGGGCTGAATCATTAAAGGATGGCGCTGCCTTGAACTTAGAAGAGCTGAGCAGGGCATTTTGGAGCAAGGCTCCAGTTCATGAGGGTTGCCGTAAGCCGGAGATGTCTTGATGGCACATGACAACAACAACACTCAAGGATTAAGGTGCACAGGAGCTGAGGCACCAAGTTATTTTGGTATCCGAGGCAAAAAATTGCGTAAGTGCCCCTCCCTGGAAAAAACCACCACAACCACGGTGATGGCGCAAGTTGCTGCCTTTCACGACAGCCTCTACTGCCTCGTCCTCCCTAATAGCAGGGTTGGGTTTGAGCTCCAGGAAACACTCTCTTTGTTGTTCGTCTGCCGAGGAACCCTTTGGATTTCACCGGAGAGAGTTGGGTTGTCCCCAGCGAGCCACACCGTGTGTCCAGGCCTCGCACGGCCTGCCACAGATGCTACTGTGATGCTGGAAAAGGAGCCTGCCTTGCTGAAGCCGCCTGCAGCCCTGCTGCTGCCCAAATCCCCCAGGGCCTGCGACTGCCTCAAAGCCTCTTCTAAGCACACAGGATGGTGCCACGTCGTGGCAATGGTGCACCGCTGAGTGGAGGGAGACGTTTTCCTCCAATCACTGGCACCAGATGATGATAAGTGATACAGTAGATACGGATATATTTATCATCAAGCAATAGCATTACTAAAATTCTGTTGTTATAATTATTCATCCTTTCTAGGGATGCCTGTTGGAGAAAGGTGTGGCCCAGGCAGAAAAAACGGCCCATCCTCATACTGTGATAATGGGAAAGCAAATGATTAAAGACGGCTTTTCCTTTTAATCGTGTTTATTAAATTGGAATTTATCTCACAATGTCCTCAAAAGCACCTGCACAGATGTTTTGTTAACTGGAATCTCGGTGAAAGGCAAAGGATTCCTTGGCAGACAAGACAACAAAGAATGTTATGGTAACGCTCAATCTTATGTATGTTTAGACAGAAGAAAGTCAGACAACTCTTTGTATTTCCCAGCCAGCACAGGGGATGCTGAACATCACTGGGGGTTTTTCTGTCTAATCCTGCACAGGATCGAGCCTTTGAATGGTCAGTCATAAAGGCAGATACTGGTCTGGGTATAGCCCTTTTCATATATCCATCTTCCTTCCACTCCAAAACAGAAGTAACAACAGAGGTGAAGAAACCTGAAATGCTGCTAAGCAAGCTGACTCTGCTCTTTGGCCGAGATAAACTATCTTAATCTCTAGGACAATATTAAGCATGTTAAGATGGCCCTTTGATAAGCTTGCACGAAACATCCATTACATAAACGTGCGTATGAAGATGCATCGCTTTGCTCCTTGCTGTGCCGTCAGCAAGTTTTTGCTGATTATAGGTCTAGGGCAATCTGCCCCAACATAGTTAATTAAAATGCAGCTCTTCATCTGGAAAGGAAAATGACCCATATGACAAAGGTGGCGGTGGCCGTGGGTCAGAGTGGGAGCCAGTAAGGGGAAAAGGTCAGGCTTGGGACTAGGAAGACTTTAAATCCCCACTCAGCTATGAACTCCATGTGATTAGACCCTTTAGACCTGCTTGAAGATTCCCCTCCAAGAACGGAGAGTAGGACAGAACTCTTGACCTCATATGCTCTGGCACTGTTACCCTTGAAGCTGCCACATGTGTTAGAACATCTGCTCAGGGGCTGCCTAAGCGCATGTGCAGCCATATGCATGCAGACTTCCCAGGGGGCCGGGGACATTCTGACACCGAGGTCCCCAATGACGTGGAGAGCCTGGGAGCACACGCCTTTCTGGCACTCTGCCCACTGTATGGGTGGCAACACCCAACATTTGGGGGCAGAACAGCGGGGTCCCACCCTCTCCTTGATGCACTGGATCCACGCCTGGGGAGGGATTAACAGGAAGGCCATTTCACTGAGCACACTTAGGTTGCAAGGTGGAGCAGCCCGGTCCAAGCCCGAACCAGCGAGTCCAGAGAGCAGCACAAGTCGCCACAGGCGCAGTTACCCTCGGGGTGCAGGACTCGGTCACGGGGTATCCATCCAGGGAGCAGTGGAGTCCAGAGAAGCACCATTCCATGTGCCGAGCAAGGTGTTGCTGCAGCAGCAACCGAAGGCTTGCAAGAGGAAACCTCTGGAGCAGCCTTCCCAACCTGGTGGCCTTCAGGGCATTTGAACCACAACTCCCAGAATTCCCCTCCAGCAGGGCCACTGACTGGGAATTCTGGGTGTTGCGCTCCAAACATGTTTGGAAGGCAGAAGTGTGGGGAACCTGCACCCAGGAAGCAGGTGCAACACATCAGAATCTCCCGAGAGAAGTTCTTGGCAGAAGAGCCCCCTGACACCTGTCCCTCCTTCTGATCCTGCCCCCAACCAGAGGGCGCCAGGTAGCCTTGTCAACCACCCCTCGGGTCTGACGGTGCTGCTGCTCAATGCCAGGTCGATCAATAATAAATCTTCCCTCATCCATGACTTGATTGTGGATGAGGGGGCCGACCTGGCTTGCATAACGGAGACCTGGGCGGGAGAGGGAGGGGATGTTGCCCTCTCCCAGTTGTGCCCGCCCGGGTATCTGGTTCAACACTGTTCACGCCCAGAAGGGAGGGGAGGGGGAGTCGCGTTGGTTTACAGAGCCTCCATCTCTCTCACGGGTCTTCCGGTCCCTTTGAGACCAGGGCTGGAGTGCCTCTACTTGGTGTTGGGCGAACGAGACAGATTGGGGATTCTATTGGTGTACCGTGCACCTTTCTGCCCAGCAGTCTCCCTATCTGAGCTGACAGAGACCGTCTCGGACCTGGTGTTGAGGACCCCCAGGATGTTGGTCCTGGGGGATTTCAATCTCCATGCCGAGTCTGGACTGACCGGGGCGGCTCAGGACTTCATGGCCTCTATGATGGCCATGGGCCTGTCTCAACACGTCACTGGCCCTACCCATGAACGTGGACACACTCTGGACCTGGTATTCACGACGGGGCAGGTAGAGGATGACCTGAGGGTGAAGAACTTATGTTTGACTCC